TGGTGGTGTGCTGAGAGCAGGTGGGGAGAAGCGCTCCTTACCTCTGTCATCAGGCGGTCAGCCCCGCTGTTCTCCTCATCCTTGAAGATTATGTCGGGGTTGTAATTGGGTACGAGGTCTCGGAAGCGCTCCGACCCCCTTGCTACCCTCCCCTCCGCTGGCCCACTCGCGCCCAGGGTCCGCTCAGGCACACTAGGCACAAACTGCTTGTACAGCAGAGGCACAAGCTGCTTGCGCACGTAACGCCGCCGGCCGACCGGTCCGCGGCCCGGCCCGCAGCTCTGGACAGGCAGTGCCAGGAGTGCCAGGCAGCACAGGGGCAACAGACTGGCCGGCAGAGCCATGGGCGCAGTGGAACCGGGTCGAAAGGGAGCGTTCTGGTCCTCACTAGCTCTGCTGTCAGTGGAGCATCTCCACGGGAGCCAGCACCGCAGACAGAGAAGCCCCTAGAGCTCCTGGAGCGCGTGTGGCTCCCAACACCGGGCAGCCGCCAACTCTGCCTACATGCCCCGGGGAACCTGGGACCTGCTACTGATAGACTACCATTACCGGGCAGGTGGATCGAGGGTGAGTGCCGGCCCAGCCAGCCTCTGCTGCCCAGCTCCGGGGCTCCTAGAACCGCCCTGACTCCGCCTTAAGTGGTCCCTGGCCCCGCCCTCCCGCCCTTCTCCCAGGACTGTCCCGCCCCCTCCCACCCGGGCTGGGGATCTAGCGGTCACCACTGTTTCATTACTCCATTGAAGTGTGTCCCATCCTGGAAACCGTGCAGGCACCTGCTTAGGAAATCCTTGAAGCTTTACAGTCCTGGCTGTCTGGATAAGCATCCTTCTACCTCCGAGTCTAAATTAGGAACCAAACTACCGTCCCCTGATAGTCTTTGCTCCCAAAGTCGACTCTGGTCAAAGCCCCTCTGCTGTCATCCAGGAAGTCTGAGTTCCAATTTCTGCTCAAGGCCATCCAAGCAAGCCCTTTGGGCATATAATCAAAGCCTCCCTCCTCTGTGGTCCTCAGGTCCCCCTCATTTCTCTCTCTCCCCAATCATCCATAACCAAGAGTGGATCCCAGAGGATCATTTTCCTTGGTGAGTTTGTATCTTCTGGGAAACAGAGCTTGACAGTCACAATCCAGCTTAGGACGTGTGTGTGTGTGTGTGTGTGTGTGTGTGTGTGTGTGTGTGTGTGTGTGTGTAAGTCAGAGGACTTTGGAAATCAGTTCTTTTACTGTAGTTCTAGGGCGTGAACTCCGGTTGATCAGGTGTGTGTGGCAAGTCCTTTGACCTGCCCATCCATCTTGCCAGCCTAGCACTTCTCCAGCTGTGTCCCCTCCATCTTAGCCAGGCACCAGAGGGTCACCTTCCACCCCTCCCCTCCTTGACACAATCTAATGTAGCTCAGGCTCGGGCTCAAACTCACTTCATAGAACTTTGAACGCTTTCTCCTCCAGCTTCCCGATGCTGGGATTAGTCATGTACCAGGTTTATGTAGTGATGGGACCAAAGCCAGGGCCTCCAGGGCTGCTGGAGAGATGGCTCAGCAGTTGGGAGCACTAGCCAGAGGACCTGAGTTAGATTCTTAGCACCCTCCAGTTGCATGTGTGTGTGTGTGTGTGTGTGTGTGTGTGTGTGTGTGTGTGTGTG